CCCCGCCAGAGGACGCACCAGAGGCAGGTCCATGAGCACCTGCATCCCATCGCCCGGGCCCATGTGGGCCACATGGTTGAAGTTGGTCGGGTTGGAGATCATCTTGGATCTTAATTCCGGGTCTCTGAGCATCTCTCTGGGGAAAGGAGACACCGCTGAGATTCAGGACTGCGAAACCCCGAGCTGCACCCCTGAGGGAGGCCAGGCCGGCTCTGCGGGGTCAGCTCTCACCGCCGCTGCTGCAGCCGCTCCTCCTCTGGAACCTTGAAAACGAACCGCCTCTTGCTCCTGGTCCGCAGCATCTGCTTCTTGCTGTTATCAGAGGTGTCTGGCACGTTGAGCGGCACTCCTGTAGGGTCGGGCGACAGGCCAACCATGCTGCCACGCATGTCCTCGGCAGGACGTGGCCACCCTGCCTCCTCCCACCGCCTGCCTGCACCGCGGAAGGGCTCACCCGAGGACTTGCTCTTGAAGTAGATGAGGCGCGGGGGCTCGCAGCCCAGGAGGTTGAGGCTGCCCTCGGAGTTCAGCGGCCTTATCTGCCATGGGAAGCCAGAGCACAGTAAGTGGGTGCCGAGGGCGGATGGGGACACCTGCCGGGCTGAGGGTGTCGGGGACCCCTTACCCTCCGCAGGCCGATGGTCTGCACCCACTCCATGGTGCGCACGTCGAAGACATCGACACCATACTCGCTGTACACTGTGACGTGGGAGGGGCTGCAACCTAGCCGGATGAAGCAAAGGCCGGTGAGCTCCGGGTAGCGCCCGCGCACCCTGCAGGCCACACCCGGAGCTCGAGGGGGTCAGGGCAGCACCGCCTCGGTTGGGCACATCACCCAGCGCTGCTTCACGTCCCAGTCTAGAAAGAGCTTCGGCTCAGAGCTCACACCAGCACTGGTGTGTCCGCGCTCACCTGGCCTCACAGTGTAAGCACACGGTGCTCGCGCCGAAGGCGAGTTCAGCCTGCTTTCTACTTACTCTCACGAGCTGAGCGCCGCAGGAGCCGGCTCAGGCTTGGCGGACGCAGACTTCGCAGAGGGGCTGGCTGGTCAGATCGTGAAGCCAAGGGCAGTGTGCGGGCAGGTATTTAACATCTCTGCCCAGAGGCCCTGCTCCGGCTGGCGCAGCAGCCTGCCACTGCACCCCACACGCCAGGCTCCTCTCGGGGAACGGGGGCTGAGGAGCCCGGTGCCCCTCTGGCATCTGGTCTGACCCAGGTGCACAGGAGCTCGCACTCCTGCGGGGGTTGTGTGGTCTGTGCCGTCTTCATGTCCTCTCTGCCCTAAGTAATGGCAGACGCAAGGCTATGACAGAAACCTGAGCCAGTGCACCAGAGAGGCGAGACACGCTCAGCGTGCGAGGTGGAGGGGCTTCCCGCAGAGCTGGGACAGCGGCCCGCCTCATCGAGCTAACCCCGCCTCATCGAGCTCCCGGACGGGGGAGGGGCAGCGGGGGCCATGCCCTCGGCCGCTGTCGGCATCACCTCGCAGAAATGCAGAGCTTGGCAATGGCAGGCCACGGACTCCGAGGGAGCTCCCATGTGCTGGCTCCTGGATCTTCTCGTTTCCGGGTAAACATACATCTTCTCGTGTTGCATTTTACTAACTGAAGATGCATCTTAAAAAATGCTTTTGGTGTATTTCTAGGACATTCCAAACAGGCTAGATTACATAACCAGCCCTTTACTTTTGCATATGAAAAACGAGACAGGGTTTGTCAAGTAGACAGAGTGCTGAGACTGGCCGTTCCGGAGTGGCACTGCAGACAGACTCCGTGGCCCTCTGGTGCCACGTGGCACAGCAGACCCTGGTCTAGCAACGGAGGCCCCTTCCATGCAGGCCCCTTCCAGGGAAGCGCCTGGCTTGCTGAACACAGAGGGCTTCCTTCACAGGGACCAGGAGGAAATCTGGCTTGAGGACGAGTGACAGACCGGGACGGCCCATCTGAAGACAAATGTAAACTCGGAAGTCAGCCTTGGGTGGGGAGGTGGGCTGTGGAGTCTGACTCACACGAGCGGCCTCCCTGAGACTGAAATCCCTGCCTGAGGGAAGGGGCGGGCAGCGAGGCCACATCCACAAAGAGCCAGAGCCGCAGCAAGGAGCGCCCACCCCAGAAGGCGACGTGCCCATCTCGCCCGTTCTGAGCGGGATCTGGCATCTGTGCTGTGCTCGGGGAGGGAAGAAGAGGATGCCTACGTGGCAGAGCACGCAGGACGGACAGGCCCCTGTGGTCACTCACAGCCAGGATGTAAAGCACTGCACTTGAGGACCTGGGTCCTTTCCGACATTACGATTTGCAGAAACACACAGTCCCAAGAGAAGATGGTGGAACGCAGGAACCGAGTGGTCCTGAACCCCAGGCAGGCCCCCAGGACTGTAGGCATGACTGGAGAGATGGGGAAGGAAGGTGCACTGAGGACCCCTGTGCTGCACCCCAGGCCTCGGGCCCACCCACTGGCCTGTGCCCTGACACCACCCCGCGGCTCACTGAGCCAGCGGCCTGGGCGGCACCACTGCGACAAGCCTGCAGGCCGAGGCTGGCAGCTCACTGCCCTGGCCTGGGTGCCAGTCCCAACCTACATGCCAGCAGTGGGGCAGATGAAAGGAGACTCCCCATTTCCTACCCAGTACCCCACGGAGACTGCTCGAGATCAGCCTGCATGGCACTGCCCAGTCCTGTCACCGGGGCTTCCCGCTACCTGCCGTGGCTCTGAACTAGGAACGGCGGAGTCCAGACCCTGGCTTCACAGAAGTGGAAGACAGCAGGCCGTGGGGAAGCCCAGACGCCAGGCTCTTGGCCTCTCTGACTTCCCGAGTGCCCAGGCTTTCCGCCTTCACCGGGTGCCACCATCACACAGTCACTCACGAAGCCACCTGCCCGCCCTGGGACAGCCCCTGACGCTCGGGAAGTCCTTGGCCCCAGAGGGACTGTGCCCTCAATGGACAGCAGGGTGGGGTCCTCTGACCACCACCCTTTAGCTTGCTCGGTCCTTGTCACCCCAATGTGCCACCCGGAGGCGCACCTCTGTAGACAGCCCACCTGCTCCCGGGAAGACCCTCCAGGGAAGGCCAGCCCACTGTGCTCAGGAGCAGATGGACGGCTGGTAGGAGGCTTGCCGGCCCAGGATGGTCTCCCGTAGCCACCCTGCTGGCCACCAGCTCTGGCCTGGGTGACACCCAGAGCCCACCCTCCGAGGCTCCTGCAACAGCTCCGCAGAGAGCTGGAGGGCAAGCCAAGCGCATAGAACATGCCGACCGCCGAGGTGAAGCAGCGACAGGATATGGCAACAGAAAACATATACATACTACAGGCAACGGGAGCCGCAGGCCACATGAGCTCCGGCATGCGTGACCTCCGGCCTTGAGGGTCCACGTACAGTCCCATGTGGCTGAAGCAAAGCAGGTACTCCTCACTTTGGAGCTCCACAGCACAAAGGGCATCAAAAGGCTGTTGTGAGAGGAACGTAAGCGAGGGGTCATTGGGATTTACCAGGTTTAGGGGCTGCCCATCTCCCTGGATGCTCAACAGAGAGAACCCAGACGGGTAGCCCACACAGAGCTTGTCCTTGAACACGGCCATCCACTGCACAGTGCCGGGGGCCACCACCTCATTGAACTTCCTGTGGAAAGGCTTAGTTCTCAGGATCTCATAGCAAAGGACCAGCCGCTTCACGGCCACAAACAGGCAGGTCGACGAGCTCTTCTTCAGCGTCGCAGTCGTGAGCAGCTGGCAGCCCTTCGTTTCTGGAAGCTTGATGTCAAAGTTCCCTTCTGCTCCGTCAAAGGACGCCCACGGGCAGAGATGGACATGGTGGTTGCGGCCGCAGCGCAGGACTATGATCTTCTCCCTGGGCGCGAGCTCGATCTGGTACACCTTCTTACAGTCGGCGGCCCGGACGATCACTGGGGAGGAGGGCGAGCCTGAGGTAGGGCGCCTGCAAAGGGCCCCCAGACGCCCCGGGCCTCCCGCCGGCGCCTGTGGCCGCGCTCCTGCGGTCAGGCTGGGCCCACCTTTACACCGCAGCTCGTCCCTGAACTTGCCTCTGAGCCGGGCTCACGGGGCTTATGCAATGCCCCCTGCCCTGCCCCCATACCCTGCGAACCAGGGTCCTAGCTATGGGACGCTCTGCATGGCCCGTCTGCCCGGAACATTTTGTTCCTCAGTGCGCTGTGGCCCTGAAGGGTCCCGAACGACTGCCACCACCTCATGGGTCCTGAGGGGACTCTGAAAGCACCTCCCACCTGTCCCCCCAGACCCCTCATGCCCACTTGCCCCACCCTGTCCCATACTGACCCCACCCATCCCACCTGGCCCCAGGCTGACCACTTGGACACCCTGACTGGCTCAGGAGGAGCTCTGGGCTGGCTCGTGAAGGCCCAGGCAGCTGTGAGCTGAGCACGCTCCTAGTGTACAGAGACACCAGGCCTGGTGGGAGGCTGCTGCCACAGCCCCTCTCCAGCCCCCAGGGCAGCTCCCGGCTCCTGTGCGGCTTCCAGGCCGGCGTGGCAGTGTGCAGACGGGCAGGGGTCCTTGGCCTCCCCGCAGAAGCATTCAGAGGTGAGGACCAGGTGAGGCGGCTGCACCACACGTGGCCAGTGGCACAGTCTGAGTTGCGAACTCGGTGGCTTGAAAAACACACCAGGTGTGTGCACATGTGCGTCCAAAATCCAGAGAGAATGGGGAAGGGGTTATGGCCTGGCCATCCCCGCTGGGGTACTTTCTCATACACCCACTCTACTCTCGCTCCTTCAAGGAGTCATGCCCTACAGCAAATTAAAATAATGATAAAAAAAAAATCTGTGGGACCAGCAGTTGGCATAATGGTTATGTCGCTGGATTCCCATATAGTCGACCGCGGTTCGAGTCCCGGACCCGGTGGCTTAAACTCGTGCATGCCCAAGATTCTGAGGAGAATGGAGGAGAAGGGGTTGTGGGGTACCGTGGGGGTTGATTTCTCGCTTTCTGTCTCTCTGTCTTTCCAGCAGGCGCAAGCGCCCTATAGCAAAAACCTCTAAAAAAAAAAAAAAAAAAAAAAAAGTATCAAGACAAAGATATCTCAGGAAGGCCTGTGTGCCCACAGGAGTCTGCAGACACCTTGCTCCCCGGGGCTCTGCGTCGAGAACTCGATGGGCCATAACCACCATGGCTGCGCACACGCCTGGGGCTGTCTCTGCGGTGACCAACGGTGGTGGACACTGCCAGACAGCCGCCGTGCTGGGGCAAGCTTCCTCCCTCAGCTGTCGGCCTCCCCTGCGTGCAGCACTCTGGTCCTGCTGAGTCCCCGCCACTGCCCAGTGCCTGTCCACAGGCTGGCTGGCCCCGCCCGACTCACCATCTCGGGTAACCTCTATGACGTACAGTCCCTCTTCCAGGCCGACGGCAATCCTGTCTCCGTCTGTGGGACGACATCCACATCGGTCCGTGAGCTCGGGCGCCATCTGCCTCGACCACAGCCTCCACTCGCCTGGGTCCAGGCCAGGCCACCCGGCACCACCGAGAGCCCGGCCCTGTTCCAACACTGAAGCGCGGCATGCGGACCTACCCACAATGGCGGCCGCCAGCACAGCCTTGATGAGGGGCAGCGAGCTGTCGTAGGCTTCCTGTGGGATGTGCACCACCTGGTTTCTCAGGCGGTTCTTATGGAGGATAGCCTGCAGGCCTTCCAGGATCCCAACCCACTTCCTCTTTTCGTTCTCATTTTCTGTCAGGATGAGCAGGGAGCTGGTCTTAGAAGGTGTACCTAAGAGAGAGGCCGTCACCTTCACGACAGGACGACAGACAAAACAGAGAAGAGCCATGAGAAAACCACACTGCACCGGGTGCCCGTGCCCGGCTGGCACCCTCGGCACTGGGGCACGGGAAGGAGCATGTCCCAGAGCACTGGGGCCAGGTCACTGCAGGCCGTGGGCAGCCCCCAGGGACCCCGCTGGACAGTTTAGCTAACCCTGCTTGATGGTGTAACCGCCCATTTAAAACTGCTTTCTTGGTGTGACCAGCAGATGGCGTAAAGGTTACATGGCTGGACTCCCATGTAGTTGACTGTGGTTCCAGTCCTGGACCTGGAGGCTTAAAACCTGTGCCGGGTGCGTGTGCGTGCGTGCCCAAAATCCCAAGGGGAGAATGGAGGAGAAGGGATTGCGGCGTGGCCATTCCCCCTGGGGGGTGATTTCTTGTTGCCTGTCTCTGTCTCTCCAGTGAGTGCACACATCCTATAGCAAAAATCTCTAAAAAAAAAAAAAAAACTTTCTTGGTTCAGACGCAGGGGTGCAGGGGCGGAGTGGCACCGTGTGGTATTGGTCACCTGGGGGAAGGCCCAGGGCTCAGATCCTGGTTAACACAGAAGCCCCAGGCAGCCCAGACACTCGACCCCGCCGACTGGAAGGCTGCGTGGTAACTGGCACAAGGAGTCCCTGCTGAGGGTCTCAGTCTCTCCTCTCTTTCAGATGAAGGGGCCAGCAGGTGGCGTGGTAGTTAAGGGCACTGGACTCCCACATGGCCAATTGTGGCTCGAGTCCCGGACCTCTTTCTCACTTTCCTTTTCCCTCTCTCCCTCTCCCGCTCTCTCTCTGATCAAATTAAAATAAGTAAATAAGGTAAAATAAAACAATTCTTTAAAAACAATTGCTTTCTCAAGGGCCAGCTATGTACATTAGTTAAGGGAACTAGATTCCACATGGCTGACTCAGTTCAAACCCCAATAAACAGGGTGTATCTGTGTGTTTGATGAAAACCCCGACAGGTAAGGGAACCCGAGAAGGGACCGAAGCACGACCACACCGCGATGGGGATGTTCCCCCAACGCTGTCTTTCATGGGCTGTGGAGATTCGAGGAACTGCTTCCTCAGGGAATGTCACTTTAATGACAAAGCTTGCCGTGCAGCACCAACACCAGTGCCCACAAACCTGAGGAGCTGATGGCTAGGGAAAGGGGGTGACAGCTGACAAGCCCTGAGGAGGAACTGCTCTTCCCCTGTCATATGTGCACACATGTGCTATTGTTAAAAAAAGAAAAAGGAAAAAGAAGTAAAAATTCTCAGAATGTGTCCAAGGGAAGCAGGGTCTCGAACTGACTTGTCTGGAGCCTACTTCTCTGTGTGTTCCCTGAGCGCTTACTAGGGAGCCCGATGGCCTTAGCTGCTAACACGAGGCCACGCTAACCAGTTAAACACACGACCAGTCTTCCATACTGTGGGAATGTGATTTTTTCACTAAATCACACTTCCAAATGGAGGTGTGATTTAGTGAAAAAGAAAATGTAAGGCAAGGGGCCAGTAGGTGGCATAGTGGCTAAGGCGCTAAACTCCCATGGGGTCGACGGTGGTCTGAGCCCTGGACCAGGCAGCTCGCAAATCACACCAGGTACACGTGCATGCGTGCCCCCTTCTCCCAAGAGAAGGGACTGTGGCAGGGCTGTTCCCCGGGGGATGATTTCTCACTGTCTCTCTGACACGTGCACGAATCTTACAGCCAAAAAAAAACAGAAAAGGACAGAGCCAGGGTAGGGACTTGACATGGGCTGTGAGCTCCTGTCACTGTCGGGTCAACGCTTCAACGCTGGGCAGGGCAGCCAAGATGGCCCACTTCACACAGCCCTGTGCAGACACTGGCCCAGGGACTGAGACCCAGGCCGAGCAGAAAGCAGTTCCGGGTACAGGCCAAGGGGCCTGTGACAAAGTGGGTGAGCTGGGGGGGACGGGAGCAGGCACCAGCCAGGGAGCAGGTGGCGTGCGGGCGGCTACTGCTCAGCAGTGCGGGCCTGAAGAGAGGAGCATGGGCAGGGCGGAGGGTGCAGGACATGGGCCTTGGACGGTGCTGGCTGTAAGGAAAGGGCCACGAGAGTTGCTAGAACAGAACCTCGAGGGCTTTTTTTTTTTTTTTTTTTTTTTTTTTTTTTTAA